AGCCCAGAGCCCGACGCGGGGCTCGAACTCACGGACCACGAGATCGTGACCTGGCTGAAGTCGGACGCTTAACCGACTGCGCCACCCAGGCGCCCCTGTATCTATGATTTTTAATGCAGTGCTTGGTTGTTAGTTTTAACATATGTTGTCTTCATAACTTAATTCCTTCTTACGATTAACAAGTTTAGGATCACCTGTATTCATGGTATAAAGTCAATGTTGGGCCCTGGTTGATTTTATAAGGGGAGCATTCAGTTGAAAAGTTTAGGTGTGCTTACTTCCCAATATTTTATTGACTTTTGGAATGCTTTATTTCAGAATAACTGTGTAGAGTACATTGAGGATGATGAGGAGCAGGTGGACATAGAGACTGTGGAAGAGCTCTCTGAGGATATTAATGTTGCTCACATGAAGACCACAGCTGCCCAAACGCAGACTTTTAAACAGCCGTAAGTCTTAATTTCTCTTTGGATTTTTGTTTTTTGTTACTGTTTTTGTGACCGTAAACAAAACTAAATGTTCCGTTTAGGAACTCTGGGTAACTGACCTGGTTCCTTTGTTCCTGTAGCTTTTTTCTGACTAGTAGATGAGGAGGGAGCTGGAATTCAGAGGTAATTAACTTGCCTTGGTTATTGCTACAAGACCATGTGTGAATATGAATAACCTGTGTTTTTGGAGCCTGACACGTTGGTATTAAAATACTAGTTTTGTATGTAGCTATTTAAGCTTGGGCAAGTCGTTAATCTGAATCAGAGTTTTTACTGATTAAATGAGGAAAATGCTCCCAATTTGAAGTGTTCTATAAGAATAATATATGCAGCTGGAGTAACTGACACTAGTGGACTACTCAACAGAGGTTAGTTCCTTTATCTTTTAAGAATAGGAATTAAATTCTAAATTTGGTTACTTTACTAGTTGAACAGGTAAGATACAGTTAGGAAAATTTTTACCTGTTCACATGATGAGACCAAAATACAGTATGATGACTTGCTCAGGAAAGTTTATTCCATTAGTAAGCCTTGTATTGGGGATTGTGGGGTGTGAGAGAATGATGGAAAAGAAGATAGGAGTTCTTATTGTGTGCCAGACATTGTGCTTTTTTCCTGTTATCTCATTCATGATGTAAACTAGCCCTGAGTTGAGAAAGAGTAATTCTTTGTCTCTGGTGATGCTGAGAAGGTGTAAGGATAGAGAAATAGGCCTAGTAATTTTCTTCATTCCAGAGCTATTTGGAGGCTACTTCATTTGCCTACTGGTTAAGATCGAAATAGTTTAAGTCTTGTAAAAATTTAATTAGATTTAAAGTTAGCAGTATTGCTGGAGAGAAGTTCATTATACTAAAATTGATTTTCTGAACATGAGCAACAAACAAATGTTATCCAAAAGATGCCATTTATAATAGCAACAGAAAACCTGTTAGGGAGTATTAACAAAACCTTTGTAAAACTTCTATAAAATGTTACTGCAAGACATTGAAGATGAATTCAATAAATGGAGAGAAAGAATAGTACACAAAGAGCACACACTGTAAAAGAGCGGATTGGTAAACATCTAATTTTCTCTCTGTCGGCACACCATGAAAACAGTGAAAAGACAAATTCAGACTAAGGAAAATATTTGCAGTACATGTTTGACAAAGGATTAGTTATCAAGGACATGCAATAATTATTTAAGTCCTTAAGAAAAAGTTGATGGAGTAGATAAGTACATAATGGATATTACAGGCAGTTCACAGAAGAGGAAACCCGGATAGCCAATAAACACATACAAATTTGTTCAAACTCACAAGTAATTAGAGATATACATGTTAAATCACAGCGGCTTCATTAATTCAGATCCATAAGATTAGCAAGTAATTGCGATTTCTGATAGTACTGTTGTGTCTACTTGTCGAGCAATGGGAACATACTGCAGGTGGAAATGTAAATTGGTGCACTTTGGAGAGTAGTGTGACATGACTAAAGTTGACTTCCACACACTTGTTCCACTCAGCAATTCCACTCCTTGGTATGTATACCCTGGAAAAGTTCACACGTATGTACAAAGGGACATGCATGGGACTGTACATTGCAGTATTGTTTGCCATTGAGTAAATTTGGAAATAACCTAAATAACTATTAGAATTCTGAAAAAGAAATTTCACACTTTGAAAATTCACACTTTGGAATACTGTATAGCAGTTAAAATGATTGAACTAGAACTGTGTGTATCAATATCTTAGATGTAATGTTGAGTGAAATCAAATGAAGAAAGATTCACTATATTGGGGGTGGGGGTGCCTTAGTGGCTCAGTTGGTTAAGCATCTGACTCTTGATTTTGGCTCAGGTCATCATCTCTTGGTTTGTGAGTTTGAGCCCTACATCAGGCTCTGTGTTGACAGGGCAGAGCCTGCTTAGGATTCTCTCTTTCCCTTTCTCTCTGCCCCTCTCCCCTGCATCCCCCCCCCCCACCCCAAATAAAAAAGAAAGATACACTATAGTGTATAATGTTTAAAGTGCTACATAATATTTTTTATTTAGGTATACATTACTAGTAAAACTGCAAAACTATGCATGGTAAAAACTCTTTTTGGGAGTGTTCACCTATGAGAAAGAAGAGAGGAAGGAATGTGATTGGGTGGGCTGCACATAAGATCTCCTGTATTTTTGAGATGCTTTATTCCTCAGGCTGGGTGGTAGTTACCTGGTTGTTCATTATGTATTTTGTTGATATAGTTTTGTATGTATGAAATATTTTATGTTTGAAAAAGTAATTAGCAATTGTAGGGACTGTTTGGCACAGAGAGAAAAAAGCATACTGTTGAATTAAATTATATTGCCACATATATATAGGGCCTTGGCAAAAAGAAGCTGGTTACACTTTAAACAATTTGGGATGGTTTTGTTTAGTGTAGCTGTGAAATAGGTCTTGGGTTACTATTTCAGTAAGACATTGGAAAATATTGTCTTTACCTAGGTGCCGTACCCATATCTCTGCAGATGAAAAAGCTGCTGAAAGGAGTCGAAAGGTATTTACAGTATGTTTAATGACAATTATCTAATAAAATTGATAACATTTGTCATTAGGGTTTAAAATAACATTAGTTATATTAGCTATGACTTTTTTCATGGCAATTTTTTACCAGTGAGTTAATAGAATCTGCTCCTTTTTCTTAATGAAATTATAGTATTAAAATGCTTCCCTCCCCTTTTAATTTTCTACTACTCCCAGATGATAGAATATTCTAGAACAATTAAAATGATTATGGAGTTGATGAAAATTGACGTGCTTACTTGAAAATGAATCCTATACTCTTAATTCTCTGTGTGATGTGAAAAAAAACCTGGCGGTTTTTCTTGTTGAGATTCATGATTTTCAGTATCCTAAAAAATTATTCTCTGAAATGATGGGTAGCAATTCATGGAGCCATTAAATTCGGAACCTCCTTTGATTTTCTTAGACGTCATTATACCATAATTAATCAAGGGTTTTTTTTCTTTATCCGTACTAACATTATGAATGAAACAGAGTTTGATTATTTAAACCATTTTCCAGTTGTTACTCTGCCTTTTTGATTTAAGTGGTAAAAACAATTCTGGAGATTGGGGTTGAGGTGGAAAGTGGTATTTAAGTCTTTTCAGAAACCACTGGGTGATTAGTCTGGGTTTGGGGGGGGGATACATAAATTACATTATTGTAATAATTTTGCATGTATTACTATATTGTATTTTTTCATTCATCCTAAAATATTTTCAGGTGTAAGAATTTTCATTATAGCTTGTATTCACAAGCCATTGTTTATACCCTAATTATTATTACATGTAAATCATTTGTAGTGTTTTGCTATATTTAGACTTGATATTAATTTTCTATCTTGTATCTTTTTATTTTCCCATACTATATAATGCACAAGGAGTTTGACTTTAGAGAGACCATGATTTTATATAAGAGTTTTGGGGTACTATCTGGATTGTGATAAAGGCCAACGGTGTCAAAAAAAAAGGGTAATTAGAGACATCAGAAGGGGAAAAACAAAACCAAGAAACTGTAGAAGACAGGAAATGTCATTATTACTCGCTTTGAGTAGTAGTCACATTGTCTTAATATGGTAGCCACTGTTAATAATTTTTTTCAAACTTCTATAATCTGTGAATAAAGTATGGAAGACTTGCAGTTTTGAAAAAATGTGTAAGTAGAAATGACAAATTGGAAGGTGAAAGAGAGAAGAGAAATAGAGGGAAGAAGACATGGAAGGATATGAGTGCTTGATATCCTTGTTTTACAAAGAGACACTGTTGATGAGAAGTTGAGATAGAATTATACTCAAGTTACAAAGGGATCAAGAGAAGAATTAGAATTAATGATACATCTATATTAGGAAGATGGGATTGTAAGAGGTGGGACAGTGGTGTGAGCTAAATCTTGTGCATAGCAGAGAGTAGATAGATAGCATTGAAAATTAGAAAGTATAAGCTTGGGGCACCTGGGTGGCTCAGTTGGTTAAGCGTCCAACTTTGGCTCAGGTCATGATCTCATGGCTCATGAGTTTGAGCCTCACATCAGGCTCTGTGCTGACAGCTTGGGGCCTGGAGCCTGCTTCAGATTCTGTGTCTGTGTCTCTCTGCTCCTCCCCACTAATGCTCTGTCTCTTTCTCTCTCTCTCTCAAAAATAAATAAACATTAAAAAAAAAAGAATAACCTTATCTTGTTTCTTACATAGAGTATAGATTTAGGAACTAGAAAAAGCCTAAAAGAAACAGAAAGTTGTTGTTTTTAAGGATCCAGATACATGTATAGGGCACAGTTGGTTTTCATTATAAGCTCTTCAGATATTTATATTTAAAACCCTATATGCGTCTGTTCTTTTCAGTGATAAGTAACTTGTAAAAGTGAAGTAGAATAAATAAGAGAAAGAAGTCTAAGGCATACTGAGGGTCAAGAAAGACTTTGCTGAAAAATGTAAAGTTTGACTTTTAAATGTTAAGTTTTGGAGGATAGGGTGGGAGGAATGGGTGCAAGCTACCATCTGTCTGTAATGGCAAAGTGGTGTGAGATTGCATAGTGTGTTTTGGAAACTTCTCGCACTTTGGAATGGTTGGAGAGAAAGGTGATTTAAGAAGAATGATAGTTGATCCGTCACCAAATTGTAAACGATCTTAAAGCTTTTAAGAAAAATATTTTAAACCTGTTTTCCATCAGTTAAGATTCTGTTGAAATCTTTATGTAATTTGTGTCTTGAAAAAAAGTTTTAATAATAAATTACTAAAACATTGCATAAGCTATGTTTTAGATTCCCTCGCCTCACTTTCTTCCTCACTTGAGAACAATTGAAATTTGAGCTGAAAAGTGATTTACACTGTTGAAGTTAGATTTGCAGCAGGATAGACTTATAGTAAGATGACCAGTATTGAAAGGTTGTTAACAATAGTCCAGACAGAAGATGGTGGGTATCTGGTATGGAACAGAGCCATTTAGGATGGAAGAAGAGGGCAGGTACAAATGAAAGATAATCAGGTGGCTATCTTTTGTTTGCATAGGCTCCACCAATTCCTCTAAAACTGAAGCCTGATTACTGGAGTGAAAAACTACAGAAAGAAGCAGAAGCTTTTGCTTATTATCGCCGGACACACACTGCCAATGAGCGTCGCCGGCGTGGTGAAATGAGGGATCTCTTTGAGAAATTGAAGATTACATTGGGATTGCTTCATTCTTCTAAGGTTTCCAAAAGTCTCATTCTCACTAGGGTAAGTGTTCTCTATAAATGACTGACAAATGAGAATTTGACTAAGAGAATCTTCTAGAGCTACTATGAGAAAGAGAATCATCACCCTAAGAGGGAGATTGAAGTAGAGTTTGTATTTAACATTTGAATGTGGACTAGTGAACTCCCAGCAAATCCTGTAAGGGGAAGAACCCTTAAGCTGCTGAGTCAAAGTAGTTTTTTATTGGAAGTCAAGTTCTTAATCGGCAGAACTATCTTTACTTCAGATTAAGTCAGAAACTCTAGTTGACTCTAGAGTTGAATCTCTTTTGGTGTTCTCCATAGTACTAGAACAGTTTACTACAGTGAAGAGCACAATGTAAGTGATATTTTAACATAGTTTTTAACAATTGCCAGCCATTTTAAAAGGAAATCTGAAATATCTAAGGTAATTAAATTGCCTTTGAGTAAAAGTTGGAGGAGTATAAGGCAAACATTCATATTCCTGTAGAACAGTTATTTCAGCCAGACTTTACTTAGACTAGGAGGTGATTTTATTTTTATTTTTTAAGATTTTTGACGTTTGTTTATTTTTGAGAGAGTGAGAGAGAGAGGCAGACTGCAAGCAGGGGAGGGGCAGAGAGAG